AAAGGTGAATGTAAATTTGCTGGATTTTTAAAAGGAAAATTCCTTTCATCAAAAACTACATACCTTGACACATACATGCAGCCAATGGGGGGATAAAAGCATTTATAGCCTTTGAATCTATTGCTATAACCCATGAACACACACGACAGGGACTTGGGGTCAAATTTGGTGGTTTGAGCATTCCAAATATATGGAAAATATTTTGATCCAAACACCCTTAAAGAGTTATAGTTTGGATGCCGACCATGGAGCTTAAAGAAGGGTGTTTCATTGTCATGCGTAACAAAAGGAATACGGTTGATCAAAAATACTGTTGTGGAGAATGCCTCAACCCAAAAACGTTTAGGCATACTATTATGAAACAACATAGTAAGCCCCAATTAATGAATTGTTTGGTGGCGACGTTCGGCAATGCCATTTTGCTCTGGTGTGCGAGGACATAAGACTTGGTGGATGATTCCTTGTTCTTGCAAATAATTATTCAAAGCATTGGTAGCAAATTCACCACCACCATCGAATTGAAAAATCTTGATTTTTTTCGAAAATTGACGGTCAAGAAATTTAACAAATAATCAAAAATAAGTAAAAAATTCGGACTTGCATTTCAAGGGAATAAACCACCTATATCAAGTAGATTCATCAACTAAGATAGAATAATAAGAGAATTTGTCAATAGAATTGATAGGGACTGGACCCCAAAGATCACAATGTATTTTTTCAAGTAAACCATAATTTTTATTTGAAGAACTGAGAAAAGGAAGGCTACTGAATTTTCCCATTTGACTACTTTCACATATAGATGTGATTTTATTTTTGCCGAGAACTTTGATTAGCCCACAGGATTGTAATTTGGACACAACGGCTGCCTGTGGATGCCCTAGCCTCTGATGACAAACATCATTGTTCACAGCTTGAAAACGCATTGAGAAGTGGGCTTCAGGCTTGGTTGAGATGAAGTAAAGATTACCTTGTTTGTGTCCTTGCAATATTATTTGATTCGTGGCCCTGTCCTTTATAGTGAAACCAACACCAAAAAACTCACAATTAAGTGGGTAATTAGTAGTTAATTGACCAACTGATAAGAGGTTCTTTTCAAGAACGGGTACTAATAAAACATTATCAAGTTTAATAGTGTGTGAGTTATTTCAAATCATTGTTTCTCCAACATGCGTAATTGGCAAAAGATGACCATTACCTACCATAACATGATCCAAGCCAGTATAAGGTCCTAAATTTTTTAGAATACCTGGGTTGGATGTCATGTGTGCTGAAGCTCTTGTGTTCGTTGTCCACTCTTGATCTTTTACCCCACTGTTGAGATTAACGCATCTAGGGTCTGAGGCACATCGTTGGGCTGATAGGAATTGTCAAATCGGTACCAACACTTTAATTCTTCATGCCCGCGCTTGCCACAAATTTGGCAGCTAACATCTCGATTGCGTTCTTTGTTTTAAGTTTGCAGAGGACCAGCAGATTGATTTGTAGAAGACACATCACGATTGTTTTGGTTCATAGGATGGAATCCCCTGCCTTTAGAGGAAAATCGTTATGATTGGGACGTCCTCCACCTCGCTAATTGGTCTGGTTGGAAGCCTTAATTTTGTGCCAAAAAATGCAGCGTAGGTGTTGGAATCAGAATGAAGGTTGATACGAGTCTCATAACTTTGGAGGAGAGGGATGACCTTGCTATAAGAGGGCATAAGCGGCTTGAGCATGGAAATCGTGAATGACTCATACTTAGCACCAAGGTTATTAAGAAAGGAAAATACCTTTGTTTTGTCACTCACTAGGCTTCCAATCACAGCCAAATTGTCACAAATACTTTTAAATTGTCATAGATAATCATTAAGAGAAGTGGAGAATCCTTTTGCATATACGTAAGTTGTTGACGTTGAAACTCACGCTCTTGTGAAGTTTGTGTCGAGGCTTCTTTGAGAGTTGTCCACACCTTAGCAGAGGTCTCAAGACCAATTACTAAGCCAAGGGCCTCTTCTGTGAGAGTCTTGATTATCCAACCTCGCAATAGGCGGTCTGATTTTTTCCACTTCACATAATTTGGATTGGTCTCTTTGTTCTGATTTTTTCCACTTCACATAATTTGGATTGGTCTCTTTGAGTCCATCATTAGAGGCTTCAAAACTAGAGACAAACAAAAATGGCATAGGACTTTCACCAGTGAGGAGCCCCACAATGTCTTGGTTCTCAACCAATCCAAGCACTTACTCACGCCATAAAGGGTAATTGTCCTGCTTCAAATGAAGAGTGACGAAGTTCCCTACATTGATGGAGGCAATAGCCACTTGTTCTTGAGACGGATCGAAATTCAGTGGGATTAACCTTGTGGCTCTGATACCATGTAGAAAGTAAAGAACATATAGTGTTTTTGTGTTGTACTCTCTTTAATGTGAGAGTTGTTCATTGTCTCATATACATTTTGCTACTATCAATTACAAGGGGTAAATAGCAAGAAAGAAGGAAAATAATATTACAAACGATGTTTATGGGTCACTAGCCGTTGGGAGTGATTTAAGGAGGACTTGTGTTCTGCTCTGCAATTAAAATGTGATCAATTGATAGCTTGTCATGATTTGTTCTTTCTTGTTTTGGTTCTTCAGCACCATTAGGGGAATCACTTTCAATATACTACACATTATATTTTTATACTATTTTTATGCATAACTTCAATATAGATCATTAAATTAGTGTGTCTCATAAAGATTAATATCTATTTAATAATAGTAATTATGGCACATCAGCATTGTGTAAGTAAGATGATGTAGAAAATTGGTGTATATAACATTATTTTATCTAATTTAGTCTTAGCTATTGCTATTGAGGTATATTACTATACTTGAAAAAAACAAAGGGTTAATATTAGATTTCTTCTTTTGGAGTTAGATAAAGGGTAACATTTAAAATTATTCGGCGTACAAAATGTCATTATCCGACCAGGAAAAATAAGTCCAAAATTCGATAAGCCCGATAGTTGGCCCGCCCGAGCCCTGTATCCTTAAAAAGATGGCTTGAGTTTGCCCGCAAACTCATTACACAACACAATAGCCCACCCGAAAAAATTCGTTAAAACCTAGCCCAAGAGCCCACCCGTCAAGTCTAGCCCGCCCACCCTTCCTTTGAAAAAAAAATTATATTTTTAAACTATTAAATTTGACGCTTTGAAATAAGTCTCTCAATGTTGAAATTTAAAATTTTAAAAATTTAGATACTATAAATAATGTATTGTTTTCTTTCATATATTAAGCATGCAAGTTTTAAGGGAAATTTGAAAACTGGTACAAAATTTTGGACTTAATTGAGCAAAATTACAATAAGAAAATTTATTTGGCTCTAAGGGCATTTTTTTTAGAAAAAGACTAACAAACCATTTATTACTGCATTACTTTCTCCAATATACTCTCTTCATTACTTTCTCACTCTCTATTTCTTATTTTTTATTTATCTATCTCTCTTTCATTGATAATTTATTTTTTTAAATATATAAATATTTGATTTGATTTTTTTATTTCTCTCTCCCATATTTTTTCTCTCTCCTCATATTTTCTCTCACCGTTACTCTTTCTCTCCTTATTCTCTCTCTATCTCTTTCTTCTTATATCAATGTTACAACAAATCAATTACACCAATTAGTTATATTACCTTATAATACACAAAACAGTTACTGATGTGTGCTAATAAATCAAACAATTATACTAAACAATAAACAAAATTACAACACTAACTCAATTTGTCATTCAATTGTTTACATAAACCAAAGAGATGTGTTATTTAATATCACAACATAATTACACCAATTATATGCATCAAATTAGATTTATCATTACACAAAACACTTTACCATTATACCAAATTTGATGTATATAATTGATGTAACCATGTCGTGATACTAAATGATGCAACTCTTTGATTTACATAAATAATTGAATGACAAATTAAGTTGGTGTCATAATTTTGTGTAATTGTTTAGTTAACTGTTTGATTTATTAGAACACATAAATAATTGTTTGGTGTATTATAGGGGCAATTTGTAACTGATTGATGTAACTAATAGTGTAATTGTGTTATTGTTACTTTTAACGTTGATATAAAGAGAGATAGAGAAAAAAACAAAGTAGAAGAGAAAGAGATTAAAAAATTAAATTAAATCTTTACATATTTGAAAATAAAATAAACTATGGAGATAGAGGGAAAAAATAGGGAAAAGATAGGGAGATTAACGGAGAGAGATGGAGAGAAAATATGAGAGAGAAAGTAATGGAGAGAGAGGGGGAGAAAGAGAAAGATAGAGAGAAAATAAGGGAAATAGAGAGATTGAGAGAATAAAAATTATACATAATTTAAGGAAGGGTAAATAAGAAAAAAAATTAAAATGTTATTTGATTTTTATACCTAATCACAAGATGTTTTATTAAAATTGAACTTAATAGAGTAAAATACTTATTCATACACTTCCTCTAAAATAAATCTAAAAAATGTACCTACACCCAAAAAATTTAAGTTTTAAAGGGTATAGTAATGCAAATGATAAATAAGTGAGTAGGTGTCAACTTAATTGAGATGTATTTATTCTATTGGACGTAGTTCATGCCTTAATCAAAAATAGAATTATTTATTATTTTATTTTTATTTATTTTAATTATACTTTTGATTCAAAAATATAATTTATAAAAATATTAAATAACAAAAATATTTATTATTTTTAAATAAAATTATATATAAAAAAACCTGCGAATAGACTCGCTAAATCCAACCAATAAGGTCGCATGTTGGGCTAGGGTAGCCAACCTATAAGCAAACCCGGCCCGACTTATCCGATAAGTCACTTTGAGTAAAAATTTGGACTTACGCTGCCCAAAGTAGACCAAGAAAATATTTCGTTGGCCTAGCCTGACCTGGCCCGCCCATGGACACCCTAATCATAACTCATACAAAACCACATGCAAACGCACTCGCGCGCGTTTCAGCTCACACTCAGAGATCGATAAATGGCGGGAACCAACGAACCTGACGCTGAAGAATCGCATAAAAACGAATGCTCCTTTGAATGGGACGAAGAATCTCATCTCTACTACCATGCCAGGTTTGTTCTTCTCTTCTTCAAAATCGAAAAATTTTCAAAATTTCATTTTTTAGGGTTTCTTAATTAGGGTTTTGAATGAACGGTTATTCATATTTCATAAGCATCTCAGGTTCTTGAATCGAGTCTGTGTTAATCATATTCAAAAGCTGAGAACAAAACCCGATGTTCATACATTTTGAGGTTAACAGTTCGTTGCTTTAAACTTCTGTGCCAATATTGGCATAATTCATACGGTAACTATCAGGCAACTTAGGAATAAGTCTCGGTGATCTACGAATTATGTCTGCTGAACTATTATGATTGCGATTTTGTTTTGATCTGATTTAATTCATATGTTTTTTGTTTTATAATTTTTCTATTTTGTATTGCCAACTTTGGAAATTGTCATTGGCATCTCTGTCTATGTAGCTTTTTTGTTTGTAAAGTTTTACAGTGAAACATTGCTAGCCACCATTTTTACTGAAATTCCGGTGCAATAACTGTACTTTAACGACTCAGCCATTTTGGTTTTTCCACTTAATGTATCTACATAGCAAAGAAATAAGATGAGATTCTAGTAGCAACCAAACACAATGTGTTGCTGTGCAATGGTATGTTTTGTAAATTCGTTTCTTATAATTCCATGACCCTATTATGGCTTAATCTCGTGACAGTACTGGATTTTATCATGACCCCGGAGCAGGATGGTATTATAGCATTAGAGATGGTGTTTATTATAAATATGAGGATGGAAATTATGTGCCATTGGGGTCTGACCAGGTACCGCTGAGCTTGTCTTTTCCAATTTTATTTCTTCTATTCCAGGATAGTGTTTCTGGTTGAAACTCTGTTCTCATATTATTTTAACTCTGTTGTATAGAGGAGGTAATCGGAGTTCTTCTGTTGCATCATGACAGGATGTTCAATCCGATACGAATGGTTATGGTGGTATTGTTCTTGATAACTCTGTTCAAGATGAGTCATGTATACGCGTACTTTGTCAGGAGGATGTGGATGACTCTTCACTCCACGCAGCTGAAACTGATGCTTGTAAAGTAGGTGAACCCAGTACAGGTGAGCCAGGGTGAATGTCTGTTGCTCTAAGTAAAATTCTCTTTATTACTGTAGCATTTCTATGTAAAATTTGACAATGAAATGAGATAACCGCCATTTGTTCTGTTAGAAGTTTCACCTTCATGGACAATGTTAACTTTCCACCTGATCACCTTTCTTGGACAGAAATAACGATAGTTTGTGGTTTGTAAGTTGCTAATTAGAAATCATATATCTCCTTTTCAGCTTTAGCTTTAATAACAGAAAATGAACTGTAAATACTTCATAAGTAGAATGTTTTAGCATTAAAGATCATTCCAGGGTTGGCATTCCATGAATTCAAACAGAACTTTACTTGGTAAAAGTATTCGTATGGTCTAGCATTTGAGACTAGCCTCTGGTCTGACATTCCTTAAACCAACAAAAGTTGTAACACCTGGTGAAGACATTAAATGATGGTAATAGGCAAGGGTGAAGCCAGAAATTCAAGACTAAGGGGCCAATCAGAAGTGAAACAAAATGCTATAAAGGATTGAGAGGGGGCCACATTAAAAAAATCCATGCTTTAAGGTGGCCAACTTAATAATATCTCAAAAATTACATAAAATTAAGATGTAAAAAGCAATTTTCAAAACTCATGCCTCTGGTTCTCTGCACAAGAAACTGTGGCAAACTTTTTATCAGCAATGCAGACAATGAAAATTGAAAAATATATAGTACACATAAATCAGTAAATAATTTGATCTCTATCCTTAAGAAGAGTGAGAGTATAATGATGATAGTGATGNGAAACTGTGGCAAACTTTTTATCAGCAATGCAGACAATGAAAATTGAAAAATATATAGTACACATAAATCCGTAAATAATTTGATCTCTATCCTTAAGAAGAGTGAGAGTATAATGATGATAGTGATGACAAAGTAAATATATTGTGCTTACTCGTATAACAAGTTGAGTTGGTTTGATGAGGTGGGTCATGGCCCCTGCTTGGTTCCCTTTCCATTCACCCCTACTCAACACCATCACAACCCCTGGTTCTGCAGCTGCTGGTCTTTTGTGNATATAACAAGTTGAGTTGGTTTGATGAGGTGGGTCATGGCCCCTGCTTGGTTCCCTCTCCGTTCACCCCTACTCAACACCATCACAACCCCTGGTTCTGCAGCTGCTGGTCTTTTGTGCTCACTGTTAACACTGCTTCTATGGCTCTATCATTACCACTGCATTTTGTGCTCAGAGTTGTGTTATCTGTCCAATTACGAAATGGCAGGTTTAAATCTATAAAGACCTACAATATGGAGGTGCCATATACTTGAAGCCTATGTACTATTACGTAGATTGGGCCACTAATAGTTCATCTTTATAGGATTTATCTGTTTAATTGTACTTTTTAGTTTTTACAGGTTATACGGAGTGCAATAATAGTCAACTGCCTGAAAATCTACCTCCACCTTCAGAGTGGTAAGCTACTTCGATTCCTTTTTCTTATCATCACTTTTGACCTTGTCATTGCTTCAGTAATACTATCCTAAGTATTACAAATATTCTTTTAGGTTAGAGGATACACTTATTGATCTTTATTTGTCGGGTTATTCCAAGCAAGCAATCAATGCTACTTCTGATGAGAGAATGCCTGTGGAAAGATACGATGGGGATAGCTTATATATGTCAGCTGATGGTTTGTTGATATTTTTTCGTTTCTGGTTGAAGAGAGACTGCTATGGATGGCCCATCACTTAAGTTATTCTGATTTGTTCAGGTGCTGAGAATGCTGATACTGATGAATTGGAAGAAGGTGAATGGGTCCCGGATGACAGTCATGGTGCAACTGATTTAAATGGAATTATCTTGGATGAAGGTTTATGTTACTTACATGAGAGAATTCTAGCCCTCCCTCTGCTACAGTTTGTTGATTGTTTTAGAGTTTACGAATCTGTTTTTTTTTTTAGTTTCTCTCCTTTCACTTTTATTCCCCCCCCCCCTCCCCAACACACACACACTCACATACAGAAACAAAAACAAAATTTCTCAGGAATCACATTCCTNGGAGATAGAGGGAAAAAATAGGGAAAAGATAGGGAGATTAACGGAGAGAGATGGAGAGAAAATATGAGAGAGAAAGTAATGGAGAGAGAGGGGGAGAAAGAGAAAGATAGAGAGAAAATAAGGGAAATAGAGAGATTGAGAGAATAAAAATTATACATAATTTAAGGAAGGGTAAATAAGAAAAAAAATTAAAATGTTATTTGATTTTTATACCTAGTCACAAGATGTTTTATTAAAATTGAACTTAATAGAGTAAAATACTTATTCATACACTTCCTCTAAAATAATTCTAAAAAATGTACCTACACCCAAAAAATCTAAGTTTTAAAGGGTATAGTAATGCAAATGATAAATAAGTGAGTAGGTGTCAACTTAATTGAGATGTATTTATTCTATTGGACGTAGTTTATGCCTTAATCAAAAATAGAATTATTTATTATTTTATTTTTATTTATTTTAATTATACTTTTGATTCAAAAATATAATTTATAAAAATATTAAATAACAAAAATATTTATTATTTTTAAATAAAATTATATATAAAAAAACCTGCGAATAGACTCGCTAAATCCAACCAATAAGGTCGCATGTTGGGCTAGGGTAGCCAACCTATAAGCAAACCCGGCCCGACTTATCCGATAAGTCACTTTGAGTAAAAATTTGGACTTACGCTGCCCAAAGTAGACCAAGAAAATATTTCGTTGGCCTAGCCTGACCTGGCCCGCCCATGGACACCCTAATCATAACTCATACAAAACCACATGCAAACGCACTCGCGCGCGTTTCAGCTCACACTCAGAGATCGATAAATGGCGGGAACCAACGAACCTGACGCTGAAGAATCGCATAAAAACGAATGCTCCTTTGAATGGGACGAAGAATCTCATCTCTACTACCATGCCAGGTTTGTTCTTCTCTTCTTCAAAATCGGAAAATTTTCAAAATTTCATTTTTTAGGGTTTCTTAATTAGGGTTTTGAATGAACGGTTATTCATATTTCATAAGCATCTCAGGTTCTTGAATCGAGTCTGTGTTAATCATATTCAAAAGCTGAGAACAAAACCCGATGTTCATACATTTTGAGGTTAACAGTTCGTTGCTTTAAACTTCTGTGCCAATATTGGCATAATTCATACGGTAACTATCAGGCAACTTAGGAATAAGTCTCGGTGATCTACGAATTATGTCTGCTGAACTATTATGATTGCGATTTTGTTTTGATCTGATTTAATTCATATGTTTTTTGTTTTATAATTTTTCTATTTTGTATTGCCAACTTTGGAAATTGTCATTGGCATCTCTGTCTATGTAGCTTTTTTGTTTGTAAAGTTTTACAGTGAAACATTGCTAGCCACCATTTTTACTGAAATTCCGGTGCAATAACTGTACTTTAACGACTCAGCCATTTTGGTTTTTCCACTTAATGTATCTACATAGCAAAGAAATAAGATGAGATTCTAGTAGCAACCAAACACAATGTGTTGCTGTGCAATGGTATGTTTTGTAAATTCGTTTCTTATAATTCCATGACCCTATTATGGCTTAATCTCGTGACAGTACTGGATTTTATCATGACCCCGGAGCAGGATGGTATTATAGCATTAGAGATGGTGTTTATTATAAATATGAGGATGGAAATTATGTGCCATTGGGGTCTGACCAGGTACCGCTGAGCTTGTCTTTTCCAATTTTATTTCTTCTATTCCAGGATAGTGTTTCTGGTTGAAACTCTGTTCTCATATTATTTTAACTCTGTTGTATAGAGGAGGTAATCGGAGTTCTTCTGTTGCATCATGACAGGATGTTCAATCCGATACGAATGGTTATGGTGGTATTGTTCTTGATAACTCTGTTCAAGATGAGTCATGTATACGCGTACTTTGTCAGGAGGATGTGGATGACTCTTCACTCCACGCAGCTGAAACTGATGCTTGTAAAGTAGGTGAACCCAGTACAGGTGAGCCAGGGTGAATGTCTGTTGCTCTAAGTAAAATTCTCTTTATTACTGTAGCATTTCTATGTAAAATTTGACAATGAAATGAGATAACCGCCATTTGTTCTGTTAGAAGTTTCACCTTCATGGACAATGTTAACTTTCCACCTGATCACCTTTCTTGGACAGAAATAACGATAGTTTGTGGTTTGTAAGTTGCTAATTAGAAATCATATATCTCCTTTTCAGCTTTAGCTTTAATAACAGAAAATGAACTGTAAATACTTCATAAGTAGAATGTTTTAGCATTAAAGATCATTCCAGGGTTGGCATTCCATGAATTCAAACAGAACTTTACTTGGTAAAAGTATTCGTATGGTCTAGCATTTGAGACTAGCCTCTGGTCTGACATTCCTTAAACCAACAAAAGTTGTAACACCTGGTGAAGACATTAAATGATGGTAATAGGCAGGGGTGAAGCCAGAAATTCAAGACTAAGGGGCCAATCAGAAGTGAAACAAAATGCTATAAAGGATTGAGAGGGGGCCACATTAAAAAAATCCATGCTTTAAGGTGGCCAACTTAATAATATCTCAAAAATTACATAAAATTAAGATGTAAAAAGCAATTTTCAAAACTCATGCCTCTGGTTCTCTGCACAATAAACTGTGGCAAACTTTTTATCAGCAATGCAGACAATGAAAATTGAAAAATATATAGTACACATAAATCAGTAAATAATTTGATCTCTATCCTTAAGAAGAGTGAGAGTATAATGATGATAGTGATGACAAAGTAAATATATTGTGCTTACTCGTATAACAAGTTGAGTTGGTTTGATGAGGTGGGTCATGGCCCCTGCTTGGTTCCCTTTCCATTCACCCCTACTCAACACCATCACAACCCCTGGTTCTGCAGCTGCTGGTCTTTTGTGCTCACTGTTAACACTGCTTCTATGGCTCTATCATTACCACTGCATTTTGTGCTCAGAGTTGTGTTATCTGTCCAATTACGAAATGGCAGGTTTAAATCTATAAAGACCTACAACAAGGAGGTGCCATATACTTGAAGCCTATGTACTATTACGTAGATTGGGCCACTAATAGTTCATCTTTATAGGATTTATCTGTTTAATTGTACTTTTTAGTTTTTACAGGTTATACGGAGTGCAATAATAGTCAACTGCCTGAAAATCTACCTCCACCTTCAGAGTGGTAAGCTACTTCGATTCCTTTTTCTTATCATCACTTTTGACCTTGTCATTGCTTCAGTAATACTATCCTAAGTATTACAAATATTCTTTTAGGTTAGAGGATACACTTATTGATCTTTATTTGTCGGGTTATTCCAAGCAAGCAATCAATGCTACTTCTGATGAGAGAATGCCTGTGGAAAGATACGATGGGGATAGCTTATATATGTCAGCTGATGGTTTGTTGATATTTTTTCGTTTCTGGTTGAAGAGAGACTGCTATGGATGGCCCATCACTTAAGTTATTCTGATTTGTTCAGGTGCTGAGAATGCTGATACTGATGAATTGGAAGAAGGTGAATGGGTCCCGGATGACAGTCATGGTGCAACTGATTTAAATGGAATTATCTTGGATGAAGGTTTATGTTACTTACATGAGAGAATTCTAGCCCTCCCTCTGCTACAGTTTGTTGATTGTTTTAGAGTTTACGAATCTGTTTTTTTTTTTAGTTTCTCTCCTTTCACTTTTATTCCCCCCCCCCCTCCCCAACACACACACACTCACATACAGAAACAAAAACAAAATTTCTCAGGAATCACATTCCCCACTCCAAAAACTAAAATGAAAAGAATCTCTTGGATGGATGCAACCCATTCAAAAGTTTTATCTTTCCTTTTCTTTTTGATTTCCATGAATACTGGAGTCTCAGGACTATGTAGTGTTTGTCTTGCAACTAATGTTGTTTAAAATGTGGTCCATCAGTTACACAATATTGACTGCATGCATCTGAGAAATTGTCCCCTCCAACCCCCACAGGTCTTTCATGGGATGAAGAGAACTGGCGAGCTCAGTATGGTCAGGTCATTCAACCTGTCGGGGAGTCATTGCCAGGTTTCCCAGTTGTGGATATATGGGATTGGGCAATGATCATAGGGACCAAAAGAAATAGGAAAGGTCGGATAAGAAGGCTTGTGGGCAGACTGGTGAAACGCTCCACTAAGCTTCATCCCTCCATGCCTTCAGGGGGTGGTCTACTAAAAACTGCTCCAATATGTGAAGTTCATCTTGATCTGGTACGAGTTACCTCAGGTTTGCCATTTGCCCTGTTTTGTTTGACAAAAGATGTAATCCTTATGGACTTTTTTTTTGGGGGGGTTAAATATAATCCTTATGGACTTGATATGAGTGATACAATTTTATCTTCTTTTTTTGAGTCTTTAATTGTCTATATTGGGGAAAAGAAGGTTATTGGGACATAAGGCTTAGTTTGGTTGGTTGGTATTGGTGAAAAGAAGGTGGAACTTTAGGATTCTCACTACTGATCCATTCGGAATATTGCTGTGATACATCAGAGTTTTATATTCTGATGAAGCCAATAGAACCATAGGTTTCCCATAAAAGAAAAAAGAAAGAATCTTAGGTGATCATGCTAGAAGTTTCAACAAAGGAAATTGATTTTAGATTCCACATCAGGCATGTTATTTTGATTTCATATGCTTTCACTTTTTTGTAATGATAATATTAATTTAATAGGAAGGAAAATGATTCAAAATCGTTGCTCTGTGTGTGTGTGTTTGTGTCTGAGACTCTGAGCCTTATCTGCTGTATAGTTATCCTCTTTTATTAATTGGAGCAATGATATATCTGTGAAGTCAAGTCAATATATCTGTGAAGTCAAGTCAACGTGAAAATTCTGAATTTACCTTTTCGAGAATATGTTTTTCACATTAAATTTCTAGGTACTTATTCATTAATTTTATTGTTCCTTTTCTTGTATGAATTTTTTTGTCATACCTATCTAAGATGTGAACCGCATAATTTCTTTTTACAGTCCTATGTTTGTCTAAGAGAAGCATCTTGCATTGGATTTCCAGACCCATATCATTTACGGATTGGGCACTATTAGTAGGCATGCATTAGATATACATGATGCAAAACCTGACGCATGATCACTTCTACCTGGATGTGCCAATATTTATCAAATGCTCAGTTGTTGCAATCTCTAATTTAAAATCATTTAATCCAGAACATCAAAAAATCTATGTAGATTTACATCCTAAACATAAACAGTCAAAGATCTGTTCATTTGTTATATGCTTATACTAATTGGATTCCTTTGGGGGATATTTGTCTCGGGATTGTTAATTCACAAGTTACAAGATTTATGAATCAAATACTAGTACTACCACTTTATGCTATTCCTTATCGAAAACTATGACTTGATACTATTCTCTTTTATGAATGAGGAGGATTGAGCTCTGATTTAATTATTTTCTCCCTCCCTCCCTATCAAGAATTTGCTGAAATGATTGTGAAGTGAATGTATTTTTGGTTATCTTTCCTTTGAGCAGGCCAGGTATATAAACTGAGGTGTCCAAGTGCAAGGTACTTGGCTTCGTTGTCAACTTATGATTCTGCCAACCCAACAAAAGACTGGGGCTTCCCAGAACTGTCTCTAAGTAGACAAACTCAAAGACTGCCTAAACTTGTTGGGAATTTCGAATCCAAAATGATAGAGGAAGTCACTGTTGACAAGGATGTTTCTTTATCACCTGAGCAGCTCTGTGCATCCCAAAAGGTAACTTCTACATGTGAAAGCTTGTCTTCAAGCTAAAACCATTCTTTTTCTTGTAGGTGCTCTTATATCTGTATCAAACATCAACATTTGCACCGATAAAATAACATTTAGAAAAGCTTTTTAAAGATTTTAGTATATGAAAGCAATGAGAGTGAGTTGTTTGCAGATGGAAGAGAGGATTATGGAAACAAACTTGCATGAAATTCTAACCAGATAATCAATTTCCTTTTCTGATGCTGCATACGTTGCCTCTATTCAATCACCCGTCTGTCTGACTGTGCACGGCAGTTGCATCTGGCATAGGAGTATAGGATGTTGTANACTGCCTCTATTCAATCATCCGTCTGTCTGACTGTGCACGGCAGTTGCATCTGGCATAGGAGTATAGGATGTTGTAGTAATTGCAAAGGCCTAATCATGGTTACAACAATTCACTAAACCTTTAATGACCCACGATCTGGGTACATCGATCCCAAACGAGGTGGGCTCGTGATCCAGATCACCAAAATGGATGATCCTAAATTATAATACTAACTTTAATTCAATTCGCTTTAGAACATGTAGCATAAATATAAAATATATATTAATTGACTACATGTATATAGATTTATAATTATATATTGTNCTTAATTCAATTCGCTTTAGAACATGTAGCATAAATATAAAATATATATTAATTGACTATATGTATATAGATTTATAATTATATATTGTTTTAGATAATAGAAAATCAAGCACAACTATAAGATACATAGAAACTAACTTAGTGTTTATGAATGTTCTGTAATAAATAATGTTGTATAGTAGTGAAAACGATCTACATAAGAGCTTCAAAACGAATTGCGACCCAAAATACCGTACTAGCTAAACCTACCCCCATCGTAACGTGTACCTAAGAAAGTATCATACCATGTACCCGTACTACGTATCAAAGCGACCCACGATTCAAGTAACATTGGGCCTAATGGCCATGCCAGCAGACAGCATGATTCTTATATATGTTTTGACTCTGGCTGTCCTAGTTCNATGTACCCATACTACGTATCAAAGCGACCCACGATCCAAGTAACATTGGGCCTAATGGCCATGCCAGCAGACAGCATGATTCTTATATATGTTNGTGTACCCGTACTACGTATCAAAGCGACCCACGATTCAAGTAACATTGGGCCTAATGGCCATGCCAGCAGACAGCATGATTCTTATATATGTTTTGACTCTGGCTGTCCTAGTTCACCTGTTATCGTGCAATTTGGAGTGACAGGATTCCAGAATGGGCTGGTGTTAGTCACACGTAAGTCGCTAAAATATTGCAACCAACTAACTTCACAGTATTGCAGTTTAATTGGTATTTAGACAATTGTTATGATTATTGAACACCATTATGGTCATGGAACAGATGAAGTTGATTAATCAGATGAGATCGTAATTTAGTATTGTACTGAGGATAGTTGCCTATAGAATATGATGGTAGGGATGGTTAACTGTTCTAACTTGTTGTATGTTTGCATTTATTGGCGTGTAGCAGAGATGTTGATGAGTCTAATTTGTATGTGGTGATATGATTGTAGAATTTTTGGGGATTTTAAACCACTAAACCTTCTTGTTCATCATAGCAACGTCAAAAACTCAAAACAGAATTGGGTTTTAAAGATTCAGATGTGTTTGAGTGGATCAAGGACTTTTTTTTTTAACTGGTGGGTCAAGTACTTGAGTGCCCGAAAAAAAAAGCATATTTATTTAAAGTCATTAAGTTTGAAAATATTGGAAGGTCTCCATTATACTTGAGTTCTACCTATAGGATGGCATGTGTGCAATTTTGAATTTGAGTTTCTGAATGCTGCCTTTTGATAATATCTCTTAATGCATTAAAAGGTTTGGAATGCAACATTTATTTATTTATTTATGCCTGATTTTACTACTTGTCCACACTGATGGAGTTTGCATTACATATCTCTACCCTTATGTATATTGCATCTCTTTCCCAATTTTGCTTTTTTTCCTTTTTAATTGGTGTCCTATTGCATTTTCAGAATATAAGCCATGCATATAGGGATAGAGCGGCTGAGAGAAGAGCCTTGCATGGTGGTTTTGGTGTGGGTCCAGGACAAAAGAAAGCACCGATCGGTGTTGATTCTGCACCATCCTCTCCTCTTTCTTTTTGTCCAGAGGAAGCTGCTGCTGAATCCTTGAGCATTTCTTTTGGAGTTGGTAGTTATGCCAGAAGAATCCTAGAAACTATGGGCTGGAAGGAGGTAAGCTTTTGAAAACATTAACTTAAATGATCATTCAGAAAGCTTTAAACGAAGCAGAGAAGTGCATTACCTTTGGGAAAATTATTTCTCGTCTCTTTATCTGACTGAGAAGTAAGGATGTTCTAATAGCTGGAAAAAGGGAAATGAATTAGTTGGGTTCAATGGGCCACCTCAAAAATTAGACCTTGTGTTACAATTAGCAATTGGAGGGCTATATGAGTACCAATGTAATTTTTTCTGTATTATTGTTCACCTATTGTTCTCAATGTTTTGTGCAGGGGGAGGCACTTGGCAGCAGCACAAAGGGGTTGATGGAACCATTACAAGCAATTGGAAACAAGGGAAATGCAGGGTTGGGGTGGGAACAAAGCAGACAAAAATATCGCTAATATAAGTTGGCATGATGCCCCTGACCTTAATGTTTTCGTTAAGGCTATATGAAGCTACATTGTCTTGTATGGTTTCTCGGTAATTTTTTTATTTTTATGATTGCATGTATTGCTTGTGTTTTGTTCTAAGATTACTGTATGAGCCTTGTTTGTTGTTCTGGAAAAACTTGTTCTATGCTTGCGGACAATGTCATGCTGCCACCACCTTTATGAAGCAAAATTAGCTAACAAAATACAAAATAGAGACCATGAGAGCGTTCCTTTGCTGGTGGTAAAATGGCCAGTTCCCTCCGGAATCCTTTTATACATGCATCCAATCAATGTTCTCTTGTGCTGATTCCTAACAGTAAGTATGCTGTGCAGGGATCCATGAGGTGCTGCTCTGAAGATAGTTTCCCTTGCTGCCTAAATCGAGTCATCCATAGTTTACAGCAGATCTTCAAAACTTTTCTGTGTCTCCTTCGCTCTATATTTTGCATCGAAGTTTAGAAGTTCTAGCTGAGCTGACACTGCAGTTAATAAGCCCTGCTACAACACTCCCATGTAGAGGAACCTTTGTTTGTATGCTTATTTCAGTTACAGTTAGTTAGATTGAAGTTCGCCTAGTGCTCACATATTGTTGATTATAAGGGGAAACCTAGACATATTGGCTTGACTTGTGACAGAACGAATAGTTTACTAGATGGTCAGTTGACAAGTGTCTGGCTAACAAGAAGGTGGAATTGACTGAATTTTGTAGGTCTTCAACTTATATTGGGCTTGCCAAATACTTACAGAATCTAGAAAATGAGGGAGAAAGTAGAAGCAATGCTAGATCAAATGGAAGTTAGATTATAGTCGGAGTTTTTTGTCCCTTGATTCTTTTTCGTTGGAAAAACAAGCCAATTGAGCTACAAAGAGACCTCTATATAATAAAACAAAATCTATTTCGAATTCTTTAACTTAGTTAGTACAAGAGTGGTTGTGATTCTGTTAATCCAGTAGCTCAAAATTATCACCAGTTCTTTTTTCCCTAAATCAGTCCATACTTTTTCACATATTGTTTTGCGCTAATCAAGGTCAGAGTCTCCTCAAAATTGATAATTCACTTATCTCATACTTTTTAATGTTATCCAAGGTTAAACGAAGTTTTCTCTCTCCTATCTCTTTTTTATTGTTAGTATTATATATGACCCAACTTTTTTCCCCTTTTGTTGGTGTTGGTGTTGGTGTTGGTGTTGGACTTTCAAAAAAGTGAAAAAATTTAGAGAATTCCTGTCAACATAAAGAGGAAATTTAGCAAATTTTGTGGGCATGGTTAAAGTCAATAAAGATTTTGCCTAGAACTTCCAAACTTAGAGCATGACTTAGGCCACCCAAACATTGATTTCTAGGGTTCCTACACTGCAAATCAAATCATTCTTGGTTTCACTTTTGAAAAAACTATGGAGGGTCTAACTTGAGCCACATCAACTATGCTTCTCTCTCTTCAAATCCAACCCCACCCCCAACCATCACCACCGGTCCACCCCTAGGCCTATAAATAGCATGTCCACCACCAAGAATGGCAAAGCACAATCCAATACTTTAGAATAAAATTATCCTCAATATCTATTGTCTTTCTTTCACCATCTTCGGCACGTGTCACAATAGTTTTTTCACTGTGTTCCAAACTGACGTTGGTGAAGAGGAGGTATGCCCTCAATCAAGTCTCCTTTTTGTACCATCGAATGGAGCGGTCCAGTGGAGTACCGGTTGAACTTATCTCCTTGAAGTTAAAGATTCGAGCTTTGGAGTTCACATTAGGACTCGGTGATTTACCACTATACTAGTTTAGTTAGGTTCATTTTCAATATGAATAACGGACACGATCAGGGGTTTCATGATCCCATCAGTAAGGTTTATCGGGATAGCCTCTGGACGCTCTTTTTTGTTCCACTCTATTTTTTAAATAGCAAAAAAAATAAAAGTCTCCTTTCTGTACAATTCTTTTTCTTGGACTCTTGAGTTTTAAACTTTGAAATCACTCTTGTGTTTGGTTAGATATGGTCTAAGAATAGGAGATGAAGACAAACAACCTTTTCTCTAAACCTTACACTATCAAATTCAATGGCACACCAAAGCAGAACATGACCCCTGAATTGTAATATTCCTACTTAATTACGATGGTTTTGATTTAGTACCACATTATATATTATTTGAAAGATAAGAAATAGGTTTTGATGGGTCCTACTAATTTCCCGTGATTGGCTCATTGGCTAGGGGGCCCCACACATGTAGGGGACAAATGTCATCCCATGATTGGTTTCATAGCACGTGGGAGTCATCAGACATTGAAAATGACTTCGGTTGTTTTATAAGTAACCATGGCTTTGCTGTTTTTATTACCTTTGTTTTTCCACAAGGTAACATGAGACAGAAGCAAAGGAAATGAAAACTTTGTTTTTCCTTGCGGTAAGATGAGAAAGAAGCAACTAAACAAATTCATTAGGTACTTGAGTTACCCTGCTGATTAGGACTCTAAAATCATATTAAAGAATCATTAATTTGAGTCACGTCAGAGACAAGATTTCTATGTAGCACCAACACATAATCCTGACCCAATCGAATACCAGTATTTGGATGGCGGACTGAATTGGAGATTTAAAAAAATATTATTTCTTATCTAACTTAAGCCTACTTATTATTGGACCAGTTAGGATTTAATAACTATATCCTATCATTTTCGGTGTTTGGATAACACTTTGTCCAAATAGGATATTGTTTTATTAGAGTTAGTTTATTGTTTAAATTAGTTGTCCTGTTGGAGAAGATGCCTTGGTTTTCTTGAGGTATATCTACAGAGCATTGTTTTGACAAAACAGATATTTGAAATAAAAAATTAGATGTGTGAGAGAAGGAGATGAAGTAGACGCAAGAGAAAGAATAACAAGACAATTCAATCATTTGTACTAGTTATCATGTCTAGCAAAAAAAATTCCAACCCCCTATCTTGGGTTTCATTTAATCCATATAGATGGACTACTTATTGCCTATGTCTGAAGGCACAAAATAATAAAAAATAGTGAACAATAAACATATTTGTATTTATATCCAAAATCAATTCACAAACATAGAGAAGAGATAAATGAATTTAAGCATCGGTTTGTAGTGGGGGTGAGAGGTGTTGGGCGGTAGTGGTGGTGGTAGGAGACGATGATGGTTGTGGTGGATGGCAATGACCGTGGTGACGACAAGGGCGGCGATGATGGTGGTGGCAACGGTGGCGGCGACAACAGTTACGACGACGGTGATGGTGGTGGCAGTGGCGACAGCAATGACGGTGGCGGCGACGGCGGCGGTAGTGGTGGTGGTGGTGTTGGCAGCAATGGTGGTGGTGTTGGCGGCGACGACGGCGACAATGGTGGTGGTGGTGGTAGCTGTGGTAATGGTGGAACTGTTTCAAATACTATTTTTTTTTCAAACACTATTTATAAGAAATAATTTTTAAAAATACTTTTAAAAAGTTATTCCAAACATACCCTTATGGGCCTATTTTTCCTATTAAATTTTGAGTATTAACATTAGCCGTTAGATTAATTTTAAAGTAAAATTTAAAGCGATTTCAACCGCGAATAACAAAAGTCATTTTGTTTATCTTTTGAGATTTGAATTGTAAGCTACTTTATTATATAGATTAAAGTTAACTTTGTAAACCTGGTAAGTATAAAATTCAAATGGAATTTTTAATGCATTTTTTACTTACCAAATATGTGATATATAAACTCCACATACTTTTTTATCCTATCTTACCAGAGTTATCCCCTTTAACTCGTGATCCAAACATACGTATATATTTTTAAAGTCATTCTTTGACATCGAAAAATACTTTTTGGATCTAATATGTCGATCTTATTTGTTAATCTAATACATCATACTCATTGAATTAATAACAAATTCTAACTAATAGTGAAACTCATTTTCAATTCAATAATTATAAATCATTAAATTACAAGTAAATAACGTCTAAGTAGCATTGTTCCTTGACATTTCAAGGATGGCCAACAATAGATTAGTATGATTGACTTTAGGGAAATAATAGGTTTTGTAGGCAATGGTGGTTTAAGCTTTTGTAGAGTGAATCAATTCAGGTGGGAAATCCATTGATGGAGGGGGACATGGTGTTTTCTCCTTTTTTTTTTTTTCTCTATGGGTGGTTGGAATATGGGTAGAAGAAAGAACTCATTTTCATTGGTTAGGTAGCTAATGATAGTGCTAATGACAGTGTTTAGGGTTTTTCTATATTTCTTTTCCATCCACTTGGTGGGGTTTGTCTGCAAATCAATGGAAGATTATTAGGTTTTTTTATTTTTTTTGTCTTAAATTCTATCAAATATCAATTTTGTCAAAGGGGAAGAATGAGGAAGACAAGACAGGGAAAGGAAAAACACTGAAGTGGGCTGAAATTTGATATCCTTTGTCTGAATTCTGAATTTTCAGTGTGAATGTTTTTCCCACTATCTTTTCAAAAAAGTCACACAAATGCGTCTGTTAATTCAAATATTCCCCCAACATTGAAAACGATAAGAAAACAAAAAAGGAAGAGAAAATAGGGAGAAAAAAGGGACAGAAGAAAAAGATGTCGTGTGACAAAAATTTTGGGCTTCAAATACCAAGACTTTTTTTTTTTTTTTTGTATCAAAAATGGTTTTTGGGTCCATTTTAAATAACTTGAGGGTTAAATTATTCGAGGGTTTTTGACGGGTGTAATAGTAAAAATGTCTCGATAATAATAATCATTAGATTACGAGTTTAAATATGAGAACAGTCATTTTATACGAAAAATACAAACTTGAATGATCCTTGGATCTTATGTACAACTAGTTGACCCTAACATAGTCCTTTGCTCTATACACATATCTTTATGCTGGTAATTGTTTTTCTTTTGATAATGATTCATCTTCACGTTATTCGAATTTGTATAATTACTTATAAATTACATCCATCAAATAATTCACGACCCTTGAAATTTTCTTATCTCAACTACTCTCACGAGTTTCTGTTGAAAGCAAAATTGTTAGAAATTGTGTGTATTATTTATTCACCGTGTACTTTGGTCTTGAGAATTATGCCATTTTTTACTAGGTATTATTCTTTTCTTCATTAAAATTCGATTGAAATCCAAAAACTATACGAAAAATAGAACAATTTTGAATAGAGTTTTTTCCTTTCTCACTCATTTATTACAAACAAAATTAGCTTAGATGGGCAAGTATCACCTTTTGTTTCCGACAAGCTATATAGGGGCAGTACAAAATAGCTTTCGAATCAATCTCAACCCACAACCAACCGACCTTTGTGGGCATGCAATGAAATAATGAGAGAATGAGCAAAAGAAGAAGATAACATGTGACACTACAATAGCTATGTTTCATAAACTTGGGGCATTTTGATGAAACTTGTATTCCAGCAAGGGGACAATTGGGTCCATTTTGCATAGCCAGTTCACAACTCCATTGTTGATGAGTCAACCTCAATGCCCTCTCTTTTTACTCCTTCAAACCTCCAATCCAACAATGCCCATCATATAATAAAGTGAAAAAACAAAAAAATGGAGGGGCCTCATAGGCAAAAGGGGTACGTGAGTGATCACACGGTCGCACGCAACAAAAGCACTTTTTTTTTTTTCTTTGGTCGGTCCCAAAAGCTTTTTTACTATTTTGGCTTGTTTTCTCAGTGTCCATCATCAATATTCAACTTGGCAATGTCACCGTACCCTAAGAGTTAATTATCCTTATTTCTTTGGCAACATGTTTTGGATAAGTTCAAGCTATGGTAGTCAGTAGTTGAAGTAACTGAACTGGAGGGAGAGAGTACTCGGCACAAACCTGAACATCCTCTAATAAAAAACTTTGCAATCTCAAAGGTAGCTTAAATTATAATAGAGACAAATTATAAATTCAGATGTTTTGAGTTCAAACCTTGACAATTCCTTTGAATTAGGTCATGAGAGATTTATCCTT